CTATCTTAATATGAAGTTTTGACATACTCTCTTGACCTCTTTGGCTTGTGCTTAGAGATCCCCTGTATAATGTGTTGTCTACCACTAGCAGATTTCCAGATTTTTTTTTGTATTTTTGGTTTTTCTACTTTTTAATCATAATATATCTGGTTTTTATTGGTTTTGTTTTTGTTGTTAATGCTTGTTTGCTGAACTTCTTAAATCTGTCTTAAATTTATATCTTCTTAAATTTATCTTTTATCAGTATAGCTATTTTAACAATATTTTCTGTTCCAATATTACATGTATTTAAAAAAATTGTTTCTACAAATTATGTGTGCACTTTTTTTCTTTCTTTCTCTTTTTTTTTTTTTTTGCCAGTCCGGGGGCTTGAACTCATGGCCTGGGCACTGTCCCTGAACTGCTTTTGCTCAAGGCTAGCACTCTACCACTTGAGCCACAGTGCTACTTCAGGCTTCTTCTGTTTATGTGTCACTTCTGGCCTTTTCTGTAATAGTTGATTGCTTTGAACTGTGATCCTCTTATCTCAGCCTCCTAAGTAGCTTGGATTACAGGTGTGAACCACCTGCACTCTGCTCAATTTTTATTTTTTTAGATTTAAAGCTGTGTAGATGATTTTTATTCACATCATCCACATAAAGGCAAATCAAGGCTAGGTCCTTTCTTATTATCCTTAACTGTAATATGAGGGTAGTAGTGAATAATAATAGGTAAACGCAAAGGGTAGATATTCATTCTCTTATTCTTGACTTCTGTGATTAAGCAAAGGCACTTAGGTTGTTTAGTTTAGAAACTACTTTTTTTTTTAGCCTAAACTGGTTTATTTTGTGCTAGGGATTGAACCTAGGCTTTCAGCTTGCAAAAGTACACATTATATTACTAACTTTTTAATTAATATTTTTATGATTATGTTGCACACACATTCCCTTCGTTAGTGTGGAGTACAGTAGTGGAGAACAGAGGATAAGCTTTGTCATAGGGTTAGAGTACGTGGCTGTTGAGAAAAGTGGCTTTTGTTGTTGTTGGTGGTGGTCATGGGGTTTGCCTGGGCACTGTGCCTGAGCTCTTCAGCTCAAGGCTAATGCTCTGCCACTTGAGCCACAGTGCCACTTCCAGCTTTCTCTGTTTATGTGGTGCTGAGGAATGGAACCCAGGGCCCCGTGCGTGGGGGGCAAGCACTTTACCACTGAGCTGCCTTCCCAGCCCCAACTGTGGCTTCTTCAAGGAACTATTGGCAACAATTTGGAGGAGGGTGTTATACAAAAAGAAATACAAAGTATCAGAAGAAATACAAAGTATAAGCACCTTTCTGAGAAAAAACTACCACTAAAACAGAAGAATTGCAAAGACAACATAGGACACAGGAACAAGATCTGATGCAGGAAAAAGAAGAGACTTCCTGGCCTGGGAAGACCTGTGGCATCAGACAAGGCCAGCAGAAAGTCCTCATAAGAGTAGGAAAATAATTCTTCAGAAACACAAAGATAATAGATGAGTGAGTAAAAGCAAAAATTTTAAAAAATGATGTATTTGTAAGGAAAATAAAAATTTGCTTAGAAAGAGAAAATATAATTTACCATTTAGCAGCTGTAAATAGTGTGTATGATACCTAGCTAAGCACTCTACTGCTGAGCTGCATTCCCAGCCCTGTCCTCACTCTCAGTTGATCATTTGAGTACATATACTGCTAGGACTGAATATCATTTCTCAGTTTGCGCAGACTGAGTGTCTTAACAGAACTTGTATACAGTTTTGGAGTCTGAAAGTCGAGATTTGAGTTTTGGCTCATTTAGTTGCTGGTGAGGGCCCAGTCCGCACATGACTCTGCCTCAGCACAAGTGGGTTCTCTAGTGGCTCTTCTTCTCTTTTGGGGTGTTGGGGGAGAAGCAAGGATAGTACTGGAGTTGGTTTGAGCTCATGGCCTTGTACTGTTTAGGGCTTCACCACTTGAGCTGGGCATTTTTATGTTTCTCCCTGGCTTGGCCTCATTCTGAGATCTTCTTACCTTTACCTCCAGATGCATTACAGGTGTTGACTACATCCAGCTTGTTGTTATTGTTGGTGGTGATGGGGTTTTTTGGTCAGTCATGGGGCTTGAACTCTGGGCCTGGGCACTGTCCCTCAGCTCTTCAGCTCAAGGCAAGGACTCTACCACTTGAGCCACAGCGCCACTTCTGGTTTTCTCGTGGTTTATTGGAGATAGAAGTCTCACGGACTTTCCTGCTCAGGCTGGCTTTGAACCAAGATCCTCAGATCTCAGCCTGTGGTCCCTGGCTTTGTTGTTGTTTTTGAGATTGGATCTCACTAACATTTTTCCTGGGCTGACTTCAACTCCATCTTTTGCTGCCTTCTCAGTAGCTAGGGTTATAGTGTCTCTTCTTATACTTTTGAATCCAGCCTTTTCCCACAACCTTACTTAACTGTGACTTAAATCTATAATAGAATGTAGGACTCAATTGTGCATTTTAAGGGTTCTTCGGACCTACAACTTGAAACTCTTTACAATTCTTTGGATACTGCTTCATTTGCTTGCTTTGGTCCGTGTGTGTGTGTGTGTGTGTGTGTGTGTGCATGCGTGTGTGTATGTGTCAGGGCCTTGTGCTTTCTAAGCATACCTCGAGCCGTGTGTGTGTGTTTTAATTGTTGCTGTTGAGTCAGTCTCCCTGTCCTTGTGTGTATGTGTGTTTTAATTGTTGTTGCTGTCGAGACAGTCTCCCTGTGTAGGCCAAGCCTGCCTGCTTTAGCTTCTGAAGTACTGGGATTACATACAGGTGTACCACTTAGCCTGGCTCCATTTTTTTTTTTAATTGTGGTAAAATGAATGTAACATAAAATTTACCATCTTAACCTGTTTTTAAGTATATATTTCAGTCCATCTTTGTACCCTTTTCATCTTTCAAACTGAAACTCCATATCCATTAAAAAATAGCTTTCTATTCCTTCTTGTCTGGCAGTTCCCATTCTCCTTATCTGTTAGGATAGGTTCCAAGACTCCTTGAAATCTCAGATAGTTCTGATTCCTATAGGTACTGTTTTTTACTTAATAATTCATTTATTTTTGTCAGTTATGGGGCTTGAACTCTGGGTCTGGGCGCTGTCCCTCAGCTTTCAGCTCAAAGCTAGCACTCTACCACTTGAGCCACAGTGGCACTTCTAATTTTTCTGGTGGTTAATTGGAGATAAGAGTCTCATGGGCTTTACTGCCCAGGCTGGCTTTGAACTATGATCCTCAGATCTTAGCCTCCTGAGTAGCTAGGATTACAGGTGTGAGCCACTGGCCCCCAGCTTAGTATTATTATTTACTATTCATAACAATTACTTTATTTTATAAATTGAAACGGTAAGAGATGTGCAACAGTAATGATAGAACAAGCACGATAGTGTACTGTAATGAAAGTTACATACGTGTGATTTCTCAAGACAATTGTATCACATCCTATAGTTATTCTTGTTGACTGTAGAAGTCACTGACTAAATTGGCCAAGACAAGTTTTGTCAAAATACAGTTTCTCTTTATTTGTGGCTCATTTAACATGTCTTTAAGGTTTGCCCACACTGTAGTAGCATATGCCAAGAATTTCTTTCCCTTTACATAGAAATGCCCCACATTTCACATGTCTGTTCTGCTTTTGATGGGTGCTTGGTTTACTCTGTGTTTTATCTATGGTGAATAATGCTGTTGTGGACACGAGTATACAAGTATCTCTTCAGACCCAGCCTAGAGTTCTTTGGAGTAGGACCCCAAAGTACACTTGTTGGTCATATGGTAATTCTTATTTTTTGTTAGTTGTGGAGTTTTATGGTTTGGTATTCTAAATTTTTTGAGGAAACATCATATTTTCCCTTTTTTTTTTTTTTTGGGGTCCGGTTGTGGGGCCTGAACTCTGGGCCTGGGCGCTGTCCCTCAGCTCTTCAGCTCAAGGCTAGCACTCTACCACTTGAGCCACAGTGCCACTTCCAGCTTTTTCTTTTTGCTTATGTGGTGCTGAGGAATCGAACCCAGGGCCTTGAGCATGCAAGGCAAGCGCTCTACCACTGAGCCACCTTCCCAGCCCATATTTTCCCTTTTATCTGTGTGAGGTTCCTGGGGCTCAAACTTAGGGCCTGGGCACTGTCCTTGAGTTTTTTGCTCAAGGCTAATGCTCTACCACTTAAGCCACAGCCTCTCTTCTGGCTTTTTGGTAGTTTATTGGAAATAAAGAGTCTTATGGACTTTTCCGAGTCTTATGGACTTTCCTTCTCAGGCTGGCTTCAAACCACCACCTTCAGATCTCAGCCTCACGAGTAGCTCGAATTATAGGCACAAGGCACTGGCTCCCAGCTCCCTTTTCCTTTTCTCCCCCATTGGGGGCGGGGGGGGGGATATGTATGGTTCTGTTTCATTTTGTTTGGAGATAGTCTTGCTGTGTAGTCTTACGTGGCCTTGAACTCATTTAAAGTATTTGTTGAGATCCCAGTGTAGTAATGTTTTATTGAAGAAAGGACGATGAACAACATTTTACTTGTAGATGCCTTGTAGACAGCATTCATAGAGGATTTCTAATTAATAGAGTATACATAGTCTTTTTCCTGTAATACTTAGCTATCTGTGTCATGCTTTGGAAAGTTATCTGTATTTTATGGTTAGTATTTGTTTAATTGACAGGAATTTGGAGGCCCCAGGTACTTCTGTGATCTTAATATTCTACTCACAAATTATCATAAAAGTTATAAAAGATGATACCTCAAGTAGTAAGATGTATGATGCTTTTGTAGCCAACCTTGTAGTTGTTTCATAGAAACAAACAGAAGAATATTTTTCTTCCCTCACTGACTGATTTTATGGCATGTATATTTATTTCTGTGTTAATTGTTTAGCAGGTAAAAGCCTGGTTAAAAAAAAAACAAGAAAATGTCCTGTGGGAATCAAGACTTGAACCAATATCTTTTAATGAAACTATCATCACACCGACAAAGAAACATGTGTGATTATCTGCTTTCTCTCTTTCTCTTTTTAATAGGAGTGCTTCTGTTTCCTATGATACCATATTTTAGTTCGGCTAATCTTCTAATGCGGTAAATTGGAAGACCGTTACCATCAGGATAACCTGTAATGGGCAAGGAGCCACAGAGAAGAAAACATTTGTTTTAATTTTTAACCTTGGTTTGAAAGGTAAGGTCAATTGAGATCACCAGAAGTTTCCTAACAAGAACTGTGTATCAAGAAAAGCAGTGCTCTGAGATACTAGAGCCCAAGGGAACCAGGTCTAGGGCATTCTCTTTGAGCTGGGTACAGTATGAAACTACTACTGTGTTTTTAGGAAGTAACCATTGTGGTAGCCTCTCTAGTCTCTGTGGTCTACTTTAGTATACCTAAGATTCTACAGAACTCAATGGACTCTAGTTTCCAAGAGAGACTGAGCTATGCACGGAGGGCTAAGCAGGCATAGCAGGCTGAAATAGCATGTAGAGTAAGAGTGCTAAAAGAGACCTGAAACCCAGGCCTCTGCTTGTGATTCACCTGGCTCTGTGCATATGTGAGATGTTTGTTTTATACTAGCTAAAGACTTGGCTTCCAGCCAGGTCTTGGTCTCCTTTGAGTTCTGTTTGCTATCAGTTTGGAACTCTTTATTGGGAACTTTTTATTATGCATCAGAAACTGACTTTGCAGATTTGACTTTTGTCCCAGTTGGCACCTAATAGAAAGTCACACAGAGGAGCCTTTGGGGCATGTCATACGAGCATAGTTAGCATAGTTTCTTTTGGATCATTGTATCTCAATGAGGGTAGACAAATGATAAGGTCATCTATCTCTTTGGCCTGTTGCTAGCTTCACAACTTGACATTTTTTGGTTACTTTTTACTGTGCTTCTTGCCTTTAATTTCTGATGATAAGTCAGGTTCTGTCCTTTCAGTGACTTTACAACTTTTTCTTTTCTACTTCTATTCCTGTGAGTTTAGATCAGGCTCTCTGTACTACTTAGAAGATCCTATTATTGTTTTGTTCTAATAAGTCACTTCTAATACCCAGATGATCTTTCCTAGGCATCTAGAATACTATGTAGGGGTTGGAGGCATGGCTCACTTGGCCATGCCTCCATGAATTAAAGCATCAGGTACTGAGTTTGAGCTCCTGTCTCAGACAAAAAATAACTATGCATATGACCTTCCTAGTACTTCCGATATGGTCCTGCAAACCTTAGGAAGCTCAAATGTCCTCCCTTCCTCCCTCCCTCCCTCCTGTCTGTCTTGTCTTTTCTTTTTCTCGCCCCCCCCCCTTTCTTTCTGTCTGTCCTGCAACTAGGGGCCTGAGCACTGACTGGGCTTCTTTTTGCTCAAGGCTAATAACATTCTACCACTTGAGCCACTGTGCCATTTCCAGCCTTTTCTGTTTATGTAGTACTAAGGAATTGAACCCAGGGCCTCATGCATGCTGAGCAAGCACTAAGCCACATTCCCAGCCCCTCAAATGTACTTATGGAGTGACACTCATAAACTCTTCACTCCATAGTCAGGTTCTTACATAAACTTTCTAATTTCTCTAGATGTATTTCGTTATTTTTTTTCTTGAATCCATCCTTTATGACAATTCCCTCAACATAGTCATTCACCTTTTCTCCTAGTCTTACCTAGTTTCCTAATTCTGTTTATTTTTATTATTCTGTTTTTTAAAATTTTTATTTGTACTGAGATTTGAACTTGAGGCTTCATGCTTGCTTTATTTAAAAAAAAAAAAAAAAGGCACTCTGCTGTTGAGCTACAGCTCCAGACCTTTTTTGTACTCTGGGCCTGGGCTCTGACCCTCAGCTCTTCAGCTCAAGACTAGCACTCTACCACTTGAGCCACAGTGCCACTTCAGGTTTTTTGGTGGTTTATTGGAGACAAGAGTCTCACAGACATTCCTGCCCAAGCTGGCTTTGAACCTCAGATCTCAGCCTCTTGCATAGCTAGGATTACAGGTGTGAGCCACTGGTGCCCGGTTCCAGATCTTTTTTGTGCTAGTTATTTTCTTTCTTCTTTTTTTTGAGTAGTTGAATAAACAAGTTTTAATTCCATAAGTTACATTATGATCATTGTCACCCCTTCCACTGTTCTCCCCCATTGTCCCCCCCATCCTTCAAGTTATATAGTTCAGTGTTTTTAGTGTGCACTGAATCACTGAATATAATCCTCCCTCCATTCCTGTCCCCTTTAATTGCCCTCTCTACCCCTTTCTCCCCATAACTCCCCCCCCCCATCCTATTTCTGCTTCCTGGTATTCATTTTGTTAAACAGTTCATTAGTTGTTCAGAGGAGTTGTACCATTGGACTCCTCCCCTAAATATGCCATCTTTTAGTCAGCTTGTGTATATATGCATAAGCCCCTGTATTTGTTAATCATGTATGTTTGCAGTTTAGATTAACTTCCAAATATGAGAGAGAACATGCACTATTCATCTCTGAGCCACACTTAACATAATTTTATTTATTTTTGAGATAAGGTCTAGCTTCCCTGCCCAAGCACATGCCTGAACCATGATCTTCCTATTTTTCTCTTCCCACTTATAGCTGGGGTAGCAGGCTTGCATCATTGTGCCCAGCTATTGGTTGAGAAGGAGTCTCATCAATTTTTCTGCTTGGGCTGGCCTCAAATTGAGATCCTGTGAATTTCAGCCTTTCAAGTAGCTAAGATTACAGGTATGAGCTATCCACACCCAGCTCTACCCCTTGTGTCAAATTCTTTCTTGTTTAAATTTTCTGGATTGTTCAAGGACCTTTATGAAGTCTTAGTAGTCCCTTATTAAATATTCTAGGATTTGTTTCCTCTTTTACTAGATGTTAAGTATTTTGTGATCAGGGAGTTTTGAATCCTACTTTATATTGACAATACTTTCTAAATAATAGGAATCACTAACGGTTTGATGGTAGACTCTAAAAATTTAGAGACATTTTGCAAGGTAATTGAGACTTTCTACTTTTCTTCCTGCCTTAGTTTTATTTCTTTTCTGACAATGGTCCTTGGCTTTGTCAGTTTTTACTGTTTTTTCTTTTGTTCATTTCTACTCATCATCAAGCTGTCACATTATTAGGATGAGGTAACTAAAAAACATTACCCAAATATTTTCGGTAGTCCTTAAATAAGTACCCAGTGGTTAATGATTCCTAGAGTGGAACCATACTGGAGACTAAACTTACATTGCAAAGGCCCAGGTAGCAAATTATTTAGGTTTTGCAGACAAACAATGGATATTAAGAAGTTATTTGTAGAATAGTCTCTTTTCAACTTCTTTACAAATATTTTACCTGTAGTTATTTCATGAAGTTTACTCAGAGCTAAAAAGTCACACAGTATCCACAGGTTTGTAACATGAAATAGCAGTCCTCTGTGCAGTCTCCATCCCTGACCGACTGAGGGGTCTGGATCTGCCACCTTCATCTGTTACTTTGACAATTCTAATAGGTCTTCCTCTACTCCACTGGTGATGAGAAAAAGGTTTTAGCTCCTTCTATCCTCAATATTTTAACATACTTAAAACATAATTCTTAGGTAAACTCAGTATTAAAAGTTTGTATAATTTGGTTAATTATCTTTTTTTTGTTATTGTAAAAATACCATACAGAGGGGTTACAATTACATGGGCAAGATAGTGAGTATATTTCTTATCAAGCATTGTTGCCTCCTTTGTTTCCCCATACCATCCCCTCCCCTCTCTACCCCCACCCCCCACTCCGCCAAAGTTGTAAAGTTTGTTTTTTTTGGACATAACGTCTTGCGCATCTCATTGTTGTAATGGGCCCACCTGTAACCCTATTTAAACAATTTGTTTTTTCCCTTCCCCTCCACAAAGGTTAATTATCTTAAATACCTGACTTACTTGCAAATTTTTTTAGTGCAGTCAAACAGCAGCTTCTGTCAGCTCGTATAGGAAGGACCCTGGGCTCATGCTCTGACCCTCTCATAGCTGCTGTGGTCCTTCCCTCTTCCTTTTGATGGCTGCTTTAGCTATTTATAGCCTTGGCTTCATAGATTTTTTTTTTTTTTTGGCATTTAGTGAAAAACATTCTTAATAGCTTCCCAAGAAATGGGAATAAATTTTTGCAAATTTACTTTCCTGAAAATCGTCTTTTCTAGAATGGGTAAGCCCTTCTCTGGCTCTCACCTGTGCCCAAGAGGATCTTTTGTCTTTCTCACTGCCCTTTGGGATGGCAGGTCCTAAGGAGAGCCACACTGGCAAACTGGAAACATTCCTTTTTACCGCTATAGATTGACCATAAGGGTATGCTCTTCTAAACCATGTTGTGGTAATTTCTATTCTCTGTAATCCTAGCACTCTGGAGGCTGAAGCAGGAAGTTTAAGGCTAGCCTAATTTATGGAGCCAATAACAAACAACAAAACAACGTTACCTAGTGCCAGTGACTTAGGCCTGTAATCCTAACTACTCAGGAGGCAAAGATCCAGAGGGTTGTGGCTCAACACTACCCTGGGCAAAAAAGTCTGTAAGACTTATTTCCAAAATCACCAGCAAAAAGTCAGTCTGTACAGAAATGGAGGGACAAAGTGTCAACAGCAGTGATACTCACTAGACACTATGCTGAAAATGAACTATACAACTTGTGGGTGGGGATGGGAGGGAAAACTGTGAGAGAGCAAGGGAAGGCATGATATTGTCCAAAAAAAGTTTATACTCTTTGCCTCACTTAAGTAATTGTAACCTCTCTATACATCACTTTTTTTTAAAAAAAAAATTTATAATGGGGCTTGAACTCTGGGCCTGGGTGCTGTCCTTGAGCTCTTCATCAAGGCGAGTGCTCTAGCACTTGAGCCACAGCGCCACTTCAGGCGCCACTTCAGGTTTTCTGGTGGTTAATTGGAGATAAGAGTCTCACAGACTTTCCTGCCTGGTCTGGCTTTGAACCATGATCCTCAGATCTCACCCTTTTGGGTAGCTAGGATTATAGGCGTGAGCCACCAGCATCCGGCTTGTATATCATCTTTATAATAATATTTGAAAAAAAAATTAAAACCAAGGTAGAGATGTGGCTCAAGTGATAGAGCATCAACTGAGCAAGCAAACCAAGTAAGCATAAAGTCTCAACTTCAAATCCCAGAACTGCCAAGGAAAAGAAAAAAGTGTGTGCTCGCACCAGTACTGGTGCCTATAGCTCAAGGCTGGTGTTCTGCCACTTGAGCT